GGGGGGGGTTAGGTGTGAATATTCAAATATTTCATCTCCCAACTCATTCTTTAGCCATTGGGAGATTCATCATGTTGCAGCACGTTTCTGGGTGGAAAACTGAAATGAGGATTTCCTTGCAAGTGGGCCTTAACTGTTATGGTTGAACCTGGTGATTCTCTGCAACAGAAGCTAATGCGGCAACTGTTTCACAAATGTGCAAATGGCACAGGGTTGTGTGTTCTGAGAAAGGGCACTTCCATACAGATGCCTCCCTTGGCTCTCTCCCATGGCTTTCTCCATGAATTGATGGAGTTGATTCATGGCATGAATTGATTCATCTCCATGAATTGATGAGTTGATTCATGGCAGAGCATCTGAACTGAGGTCCACTTTCCTCTGAGCGTGGTTTCCTTTTATGGTGAGGAAAAGGAATGTAAAAACCTGACCAGCCATGGTGTGATTGTAATTGTCAAGCTGCTCCTTGATGCGACTGTGGAATACGAGGAGGGGGAAATCCAGAGGGTGGGACCAAGTCAAGTTCCCACCGATGAGAAGCTGCCCACCCCCAGACTCTGAGGAAACCTCGCAGAACTGTTTTCGTAGCATTTTGCTCTGCAGTGAGATGGGCGGTGACAAATTTGAAATAGAAATAAATAAATATCTTCTAGAGCAGGAACTGAGCTGAGGCTTAGCTTCGAAAGCTCGTGGAAAACGTGGGATGTCAGCTGGATGCAGCTTCTGCAAGTAGAAGGGAGCCAAAGTAACGCAGGTGGAACATTTCAGATGCTCGCTGAAAGACGACCAGACCAGGATATCGGTAACTTGATGAGGACAGTTTTGCCTGGTTAACTCACGTCATATATGAAACTGGAGCTATTTTGCACCTTTGAGCAGTAAATCAATTTCTGCTTGAGACTGAAAGCTTTGAAAACCTCACGGCCGACTCGGATAGCTTGGGGACAGATCTAATTAAAAAGCAGTGTTGCTGCTGATTATTTTCTTTTTGCAGAGTGCTGGCAGGGGTATCTGTGTACTTTTTAAAACCCCTGTAGTGATATGTGGTTATAGATTTCCTTCGAGGATGTGTAAAAATGCTGGCGAACAAAACCAGGCACCCGCAGATGCTGCTGACAAATAGCCCTTTAGTGGCTGGAAGTTAGTTCTTTATCTTGCTAGCGGACCACGTCTTCCACCCGTGCTCACGGCGAGCAGATGTCGGGCAGCTGAGCTGTGGACTTTCATAGATAAATAGATATTATCTTTCCTATGGTGAATCTGTTCTCAGATGGTTAAGGTCATCTGACTTTCTTATTTTGCTACAAAAGTACATTAAGAAAAACACCCATAGAGCCCCTCGTTATCCATCAGACTGCTCGGGGGAAATATCCATGTATATTTCAGCACATTCTTTCACCCTGAGCAGCTTCACGGGCTGCGTCAGGACCCCAAGAGAGGCGTTGGCCACAGCTGCCAGCTGCGATTGGCATATAGAATGGAGCAGGCAAGAAGAGGGTCCTCTAGACGTTGCTGAGATACACATCTGATCGTCCCTCAACATCGGTCATGCTGGTTGCAATCGCTAGGAGTTATCACTCAGTAACATTTGTTGTTGTTGTTGTTGTTGTTGTTTAGTCGTTAAGTCGTGTCCGACTCTTCGTGACC